TGAAACTAAGTAGGTTAGAAGTTCCTGCAAAATTGTTAGATAGTGTCCTACAATTAAAACTTTTTGCCGAATAGATCTGATGATAGATTAAAAAAAATGGACCACAAAAGGTCTTACTAACTTCTACACATTTGTCCACAAGGGGGGGTTTCCAAAACTTTTTATCCCTACAGGAAAAACACAACCTGGAAAGAATGATTTCTTTAGGTACCTTCAAGTTCGACACTATTTCGTTCAGAACTTGAACACAGCTTCGAAAACAGAAGAATTAGATATCCAAAAACTATTCCTGTCAGCATCTAAATCCACGACTTGCAGCAATATCATCTCCAAAATGTACGTAGGTATTCTTCAATGTACAGTCCCCTCCAAAAGTATTGGAACGGTAAGGCAAATTCCTTTGTTTTTGTTCACTGAAGACATTTGGGTTTAAGATCAAAGATGAGTATGAGACAAGAGTTCAGTGAGCAAAACTACTGGAACATGTGACTGACAGATGTTCTGGTTGCCCAGGTGTTGCCTTTTAGGTTGATTGTCCAAAAATTAAATAGCTCTGCATGACTAGTCTAAGTTTTCATCCTTGGTTCAAACCTATAAAGACTGCATTTCCTGTTCAAGAGGATAAACCAACATGAAGACCAGAGAGCTGTCTATGGGATAAAAGCAAGCCACTGTCAAGCTGAGAAAAGAAGGAAAATCGACCAGAGCCATTGGAAAACATTGGACAACAATTTGGAATGTCCTGAAAAAGAAAGGAACTGCTGGTGTACTGAGCAACAGACGTCGAACAGGGGCCAAGGAAAACAACAGTAGTTGATGACAGAAATATGGTGAGAGCTGTGAAGAAAACCCCCAAAACATCAGTAAGTGACATCACCAACGACCTCCACAGTGCAGGGTGAAGGGATCACAATCCACTGTTGGAAGAAGACTCAGAGAGCAGAAATATAGAGGCCACACCACACCACAACAAAAAAAAGGAATTTGCCATACCGTTCCAATACTTTTGGAGAGGACTGTAAATCAGAAAACTCACTTTATATAAAAAGAAATGGGAGAAAGAGGGTAATTTTAACATCCCAGAGGAGACTTGGCAAAGAGTGTGAGCAATTCAATGAGTCAACTAGTTCGTCCACATGGTGCGAATTCTGCCGGAAAAAATTGTACGATTCTTAATTACCCCGCAGCAAAAAGCACATTTTGGAGATGGCAGTTGTTGGAGGCTCTGTGGGGAAAACAACACCAACCACTTTTCATATTTTGGAGCTGCCAGGTCCCCTACTGGCAAGAAAATATAAACATGTTAACAATCTATTTGGTAGTAGTATCCCTCTCAGATGGGATACTATTTACATGGTGATATCCAATTAGATAGATGGAGTAATAACGACAAGAAACTGGCTCATATACTTCTGGCAGCAGTAAAAAGGCTGTCAAAAGAGATGGCTAAAATCAGACCCACAAACTATTGAAGAGTGGATAGAAATAATACATGAAATTGATATGATGGAATTATCATTTTCCCTCAGGATCCAAAAAGAAAAAATTTATCTGATTTGGATCAAGTGGACTGAATATATTAAACTAGTTACTTCAGATTTTAAATGGACTTGTTGACATAATTAACGGATGTAGGTACTAGACACAATGGGAAATGTAGGTATAGACATCAATAAGAAACAATGAGTATGTAAGTTTCTGTCTGATCTTGTTCTATGTATGCATATATGTAGATATGTGTGCTTAGGTATGTAGATAAATGTATGTTGTATATCTGTATATCAAACCTGCCTGATGACGATAACTCTGTTTCAACAATTGACTACAACATCAGAGCTTATAATCCCTGCTCTGGGAGCATACCAGACGCATATAGACTCACTCACACACAGGTTTCCTCTTTATAAAGCCTAGTTCACACTACACGATTTTAAGCCCAATTTGCGTCGGCGAGCTTAGTGACATTCACATCTACATCTATCCAATGAGAGCAGGCAGCTGGAAGAGCAGGCAGCTATTTTTACCGGAAAACACTTTTAACTCACCTCCAGCTTCTGTAGCTCAGACAATCCCTGCCACCTGCGTGTGCTAATCCATTTTTTCATCCATATTCTTTGTATTTATAATTGCTATCTTTATAATAACAAACAACAGCTGTTTCGTGTGTTTTTTTTGGTTCACTTCTCGTTTCACATTTCACGTGTGTTTTCTTGACAAAACGTGGTTTGGAGACCAGTGTCGGGTGACACAGCCGTCGTGACACCGATCAGTCACGTAGTGTGAACACCACAGCGACTTCAAGACTCCCGTCAGTAACACACTGACGTAATGTATGACTAGTTTAGTCAATGATTTCATACATTTTCTGAATCTCAGAGCAAAGCTCCTATCAAATGGGGGTCTAATTTGTGTTAGTTTAAGTGTAAACGTTTGAGAACCATGCTTTAGACTGCTGTGGTTACAGGTTTTGATTTTATGTTGTCAAGGTCTTCTGTCTTCACCACAACATGAGTTTTACATGACTGATGGCTGTCAATGCACGTCTTCAGATTAAATGAACAGTGTGAAGGTGGTCTGGTGGTCAGGTTGGTCTCTTTTGTCCTCCACTGTCCAGGATGAAAAACAGAGAATTGAGGATCTTGGTGGCTGCATCACCTTCATGGGTTGCTGGCGTGTTAATGGAACATATGCTGTATCCAGAGCTATAGGTAAGTCACTCATAACCAACAAGAAGAGAGCAAGTTTTGGGCTTAATACAGTAAATTCTCACATAGTGGTCTTTATTACCTTAATGACAGAGAGAACCATTTGTATGTACAGTATATATTTTCTAGTTCAATAAAGAATTATAGAAGTTGTATGACAAAGATTTTAGTCAATCAACCTGACAAAGATTTTAGTCAGTCAACCATGTTTTGTTTTGTTAGTTTTTTTGGCAGTTCTTTTTTATAAACACATTGTATTGCAGTAGTACCGTATCAGAAATATTAGGATTTTTTCTTCAGCTAAAAAAACACCCAGACTCCCTGCTCATTGTTCTCGGGGACTTCAACAGAGCAAACCTCAGCCACGAACGTCCAAAGTACAGACAGCATATTAAGACACTGCACCACTGCTACACTACATGAAAAGAAGCTTATCGCTCTGTCCCCCATGCAGCGCTGGAACTCTCTGATCACTGTCTGGTTCATCTTATCCCGACATACAGGCAAAAACTGAAATCTGCTAAACCTGTTTTAAAGACTGAAAAGATGGACCAACGAGTCAAAGCTAGAGTTACAGGCCTGCTTTGACTGCACTGAGTGGAGTGTTTTTGAGACTGCAGCCACTGACCTGGACGAATTGACACTGTGACATCTTACATCAGCTTTGTGAGGACGTGTGTGCTGACCAAAACCTTCCACACATACAACAACGAAATACCCTGGTTAACAGCGAAACTCGGGCAGCTTCGTCAGACCAAAGAGGAGGCCTTCAGAAGTGGGAACAGAGTCCTGTACAACCAGGCCAGGAACACTCTGACTAAAGAGGTCAAAGCAGCAAAGAGATGCTACACTGAAAAGCTAGGAAACAGCTTCACAGCCAGCAACCCTGTGTCAGTGTGGAGAGGCCTGCTGACACTCACTAACTACAGGAGACCATCCCCCAACACTGCTGGTACTCAACAACTGGCTGACGAGCTGAATGGTTTCCATTGTAGATTTCAAGCCCACAGTCACACCTCTCCCCCGCTCCAACACCATCTTCAAACAGTCACCTTCTCCGACTGCCACGCGCTCACCCCCCTTTCTGACCCCTCACCTGCACTCACGATCTGTGAGGGGGATGTGTGCCAGCTCTACCAGAGGCAGAAGATCAGGAAGGCTCCTGGCCCAGACGGTGTCACCATCCTGCCTGAAAATCTGCCCTGACCAGCTGACCCCATCTTCACACAGATCTTCAGCAGATCACTGGAACTGTGTGAAGTTCCCTCCTGCTTCAAACGCTCCACAGTCATCCTGGTCCCCAAAAAACCCTCCATCTATGGACTGAATGACTACAGGCCTGTCGCCCTGACATCTGTAGTCATGAAGTCCTTTCAAAGACTGGTATTGGCCTACCTGAAGGACATTACAGGCCCCTTGCTGGACCCCCTGCAATTTGCCTACAGGGCTAACAGGTCAGTGGATGATGCTGTCAACTTGGGTCTGCATCACATCCTGTAACACGTCGACACTCCAGGGACATATGCTAGGATTCTGTTCGTGGACTTCAGCTCGGCGTTCAACATCATCATCCCAGACATCCTCAGCACCAAACTCACCGAGCTCACTGTGCCAGCCTCCCCCTGTCAGTGGATCACAGACTTCCTGACTGTCAGGAGTTAGGAGGTGAGGCTGGGGAACATCACATCCAGCACCTGGACTTTTAGCACTGGCAGGGGTGTGTGCTCTCCCCACTGCTCTTCTCTCTCTACACCAATGACTGCACCTCAGGAGACCCGTCTGTCAAACTCCTGTTTGACATAACCGTCATCAGCCTCATCCTCGATGGTGACGAGTCGGCCTACAGATGGGAGGTTGATCAGCTGGCTCTCTGGTGCGGTCAGAACAACCTGGAGCTTAACACGCTCAAAACTGTGGAGATGATCGTGGACTTCAGGAGGAGCCCCCCCCTGCCCCCCATCACCATACTCACAGCCCTGTGTCTGCTGTGGAATCCTTCAGGTTTCTGGGATCCACTATATCCCAGGACCTTAAGTGGGAGCCCAGCAATGACACCATCATCAAGAAGGCCCAACAGAGGATGTACTTCCTGCGCCAGCTCAGGAAGCTCAACCTGCCTAAGGAGCTGCTGATCCACTTTTACACAGCCATCATCCAGTCTGTCCTCTGCACCTCCATCACTGTCTGGTCTGGATCTGCCACCAAAAAGGACAGGAGCAGACTACAACGGACAGTCAGAACTGCAGAAAAAATCATCAGTGCCAACCTGCCCTCCATTCAGGACTTATACATTTCCAGAGTCAGGAAACGGGCAGGAAACATCACTGCAGATCCATCTCCTGTTCCAGCTCTTCCCCTCTGGTAGGTGCTACAGAGCACTGTACGCCAAAACCAACAGACTCAGGAACAGTTTCTTCCCACAAGCCATCACTCTGATGAACAGCTGACTCTGACTTACAGTGTCTGGAACCATTCCTGTGCAATAACCCAGTAACTCTGCAACCTCTTTACGGACTTGCACCACTTATTATATATTTATCATTCTCTATTTCAGAGCTGTTCATACTGTTCATATTCATATTGTATATACTGTATTCCAAATCCACCTACCTCATGTACATAACACCATACATAATACTTATTTATTCCAGCTTTCTTTGCACTCATCACACTGTGTACATGTATGCTTGTATGTATATGTGCATAATAATAACAATAATGGTAATAATAATTTTTCTCCTGCATCTTTTGCACTCTGTTCATTGCACTACTGCAATTTGTGTAATTGTGTGTGTGTGTGTGTTCTCTATATTGAAGCCTGTGTTTTATTATTGTCTTACTGTATTATTGTATAAGTAAGCATATCGTGAGCGTTGTCCAGAGTCAAATTCCTCGTATGTGTACATATATTAGGAATTTTATGGGGCGGCTGTGGCTCAGGAGGTAGAGCGGGTTGCCTGTTAATTTAAAGGTCAGCGGTTCAATCCCCGGCTCCTCCAGGCTGCATGTCGAAGTGTCCTTGGGCACTGAACCCCGAATTGTGGCTGTTCCGTCAGTGCATGAGTGTGTGTGAATGTTAGGCTCAATCCCAATGTCCCCCCTAAGCCCCGAACCCATTTTTGCCTTATTTTGAAGTCCTGCAGGCTCATGTCCTACAGAATGGAGGAGAGGTAGGCTAAACGTCAATATATATTTGTAATTAATGAATGCACTATCGTTGGTCAAATAGCATCATCAATCAAAAACTAAAATAAATAGTTGAATAAACTAAGTATGTCATAAGGTTATTGCATTCCTCTGACTTAATGTGTTCTATGCAACATCTTAAGTTAAGAAAACTTTCAACCATTTGACATCAGCGTTGGTGTCCATGCTTGTTTGTTTACTGTTTTCTTCTTCTCTTAATACGCAGATTTGCCGGGATATTTCTCTCGCTTCAGGGCTTCCCTGGTAACCCCATACAGTCTATGGGTAACCTCTGTGTTTTATGTCATACCGCTATGAACAGTGGGCAATTCCCTCAGCCAAAGTCTGCAGAAATGCAGATTTACATAAAGGGTCTATAAAGGGCTCAAAATGTCTGCGAGAGCGCCCTCGAGAGGTCGAAATTACCTAAGCCCTCACGTACTTCCTGGGAACGCCTCAAAGTCTGTGAGGGGGGACATTGGGATTAGGCCTTAGTTTCTGTTTGAGCACTTAGGCTCAGTGTATAAATGTGAGTGAATGGTGAATGCAGATAAAAGCACTTTTGGTGGTCAAAAAGACTAGAAAGGCGCTATACAAGTACAGAGCATTTACATGTTACATTTATACCTGGCAATAAAGCTGTGATAGGAAACGTGACTTATGTGATTTCCCACTGTAACGTAAGAACATCCAAAAGTTGATTATGTTTAAACTTTTGCCGCAGGGTAACTACTTCCTGTGCAGTTTACATCGTCACAGGCTAAAAAAACTACCCCTATTCAAATAAATGGACCGACATTATTGCCACAATACCTGATTTTGTGTGAATTCTGCCTAAGATTTGTAAGGTAGTTTATGAGCACTATTGATCTTCATTCTAACCAATTAATTGAGAGGTATTCAGGCCTTGGAGTCGGTCTGCAGCTGCTAACCACACATTCCACATCACTCCTCCAGGTGACTTTGACCAGAAGCCCTATGTCTCTGGAGATGCTGACTGCTCAACAACCCAGCTGTTCGGGGATGAGGACTATGTGTTGCTGGCGTGTGATGGCTTCTTTGATGCAGTCAAACCTTCAGAGGTGCCACATCTGGTCCTGAATGCACTCCAACAGGCTGGTGACCCCGAGGGCGGGGAAGACGCTCCACTGGAACGGTCTGAGGATGCTATTGGACTGAGAGTCGCTCAACAGTTGGTAGGTCACGCTAAGGCAGCTGGTTCCAGTGATAACATCACAGTGATGCTGGTGTTCCTGCGTCCACCAGAGCAGCTGCTAGTTGAAGACTCCACCCCAGTAACTGTAAAAACTACTCAGGACTCCACTTCTCAAGATGCACCACAGCAGTAAAGCAGGTCTGCTGCACAGTGCACAGACACCTTCTGCCTGACTCTGCATTTGTCAACATATTTTTGCCCTCAGGTGCTGACATACATCATGCAGAGTGACAAAGCTAATTTGATATGCTAACAAATCACATAAGCACGGCAGAGGTAAGTCACACCATGTCACTGCTTTGGAGTAAAAGTGTTGATTCAGCTGTATTTAGACCTAAGATGTATGCTATATGATGCAGGGTCAGCTTTATTGCTAGGGTTCCCGGGGCAAAAGTGAGCTGTGGGTTCCTACTGAGTCCCCAAACATACTCCCCCAACCTTGAAACCAACAAGTATTCCTACACTGGAAAATAACCTGTCCGAGGTTTGCTGTGTGTAAATTGATATGTACCATGTGAGCATCATATGTGAAAAAATATGATGTCCTGGTTCTAACTTCAGTATTATCTCATGTGATCATTGGATTTTAACTCTTTAAAAAGAGCTTTGTGTTATACATTCATAATCTTGAATTGAACTAAGCATTGAAAACATTTAAACTTTGTTTCTGTTGACTGGCATTATTTTGTACTGAAACAGATGTGTGACTGAAATGAAAGTCTTAAGGATTGATTCTTTTTTGAAAACAAAGAACTTTTTTTAAGCAACTCAACACCTAATTGTGAGATTTAATCACTACTGAATACCTTATTTTGTAAATTTAAATACCACTGAAGTTATAGCATTGAAATATTTTCATTTGAAAACCATCTCTCTCAATTTAGGTGGTTTGAATTCTGCTCTTTCAAATTGTATATTTAAAATTTTTTTTTTTCCAGCTTCACAATTCAAATACAAAGTTCTAGTATCCAGAGTTTCCAGGAACTTTTCTTTCTTGGATCATGTGACTGACAGAACGTAACCTGATAGGACAGTGGTCTAATTGATTCCATTCAGGTTTGAATGCTAATCCTTGTTCCTTCTTGGATTTTGGAATCTGAATCCAATTTTAGCAACTTGAACTTAAAACCAAGTTTTTAAAGTTGCACCACTTAAAATAACCCTATATTTCTGTAACCGTAGTTACTGTTGCCATGCCTGCCAAATGTTCTGTTCTCACAAAGCACTCTGCAGATGTACCATCAAAATGTTTAGTCATTTTTTTTAATGTTGGGCAGCTGTGGCTTAGGGGTTAGAGCGGTCGTCTATTTATAAAAAAGGTTCTATCCTGAGCTCCCCTAGTTTGCAAGTATCCTTGGGCAAGACACTGAACCCCAAATTGCTCCAGATGAATGTGATGTAGTGTAAAGCGTTTTGAGTAGTCGGAACAACAGAAAAGGCTCTGTACAAGTACAGGCCTGTAAAATAGCGCCTGTAAGATGTTTATTGTCGAATTAACTGTAACTTACTGGCAACAGTTATCCAGTAGTTGCTGTATTTCATTCTTCGATAAAATTACTGTAAAACCAACAACAGTAGTGTTTAGCATACCGTAAAATAAAGTACAGTATATGTACTGTTATTTTAGTTATTTATTTTAGTATTATGCTGTTATGAAAACATTACTGTTAGTTTACAGTATTACTGTTTAACGAATAAAATACTGTTTTAGCTGTTGATGTAAAATAAAAAGGACATTTGAAGACTTAACTGCACAAAAAGCAGATCGTTTATTGCAATAATACAGTCATAATAATACATATATAAAGAGATCTGTTTTGAAACTGATAGTATAACAATGTCGTAGGCAGTCGGTAATCAATGTATAAAAGTAAAAATATAATATTTCCCTATAACTAGCCACAGAGACTAGAAAAGCCAGGTTGAAGATAAGAAAATACAGGTAATCAACCATCTTGACCACATGCTAAACATGACATTCTCCATAAAGATCATCAGAATAAATAACAACTAATCAAAACTCCAGAAAATTGGCTCAACATTCAACCAGGCCACAGTTATCCTGTCAAGACACATTGCAATACACAAAAGAATCTTCACAAAAGAATCTTAACAAAACAGTTTCTCACTGTAGGTGTTCCGGGTGGGGAAGTCTGCATTTGAAAAGTAATGGTGGTGAAGTTAGACAGGTGAGGATGGAGGTGGTGGGGGGAGCCGGGTGGGCAGTGGAAGTGGTGACAGCAGTTGTGATTGTCCTCCAAAAAAATGACAAACACAAATCAATCACTGGGGCGGAAATTCATCCCCAGTGCCAAACTCACATTATCTGAACACCTTTTATTGAATCTATGAAAGCTGCTCCGCACTCTGATTACACTAGACAATCAATACCTTTGAATGTGAATTTTGGTGTATGGTGGATTCCATCCGAATACTCAGACACAGTATGGGACATGTACATGACTTCTGTGAGTGTTGTGTTGTCAAGTCTTTCGGTATTCAAAGAACAGATTGTATTTTCAGAGACTTTTTCCTATCCAATTTTAGTATGGGAGTCAATGGAAAAATTGGATACTTATTCTCACTTCTAGTGACAGGAGGACCACGGCAAGTATTCTCAAAGACTTTCTGAAGACAAACAAGCTGCCACAAGCAATCATTTTATCTTTCTAATTAAGCTCATCTTTAGAAGTCATGTAAAATGTTTGTTACAGCAAGGGGCTAAAACCAAGTATCTTAAATCCAATAAATCAAACTTAATGTAAATATATCTAGTAATTTTAGTGGGTCATACTAAAATAATGGGCCATGGTAACGTTATGTTAGTTAGTGATAATGGACTTAACGTTACAGTTTCACAGGTTGGAATCCTGAAGATGGTCTTGGCATATATGGCAATATGGCTCATCTTGTGGAAATAAGAGGAACAGAAAAGCTACTTAAAATAAAAAGACTGATTGTGAACAAATTAACTTTAATGTTACATGTAAACACCCAAAGTCAGACTCACAGCTCCATTAAATAACAGAAAGTTCCGGTAATTTTAGCCCTCAGCCTAAAAATACTATCCAACGTTATGAAAAAGTGAAGTATTTTGTTAAAGCTATTAATGTTAATTTAATCAGCTTCTAACTTACTGACAGGCTAACAGGACAGCTTTGCTATTCCAACGTTGGCTAGCTATGTAAGTTAGGTAACATTAGCTGTGGCTATTTACCAGATTACAGAATATCAAAGCCACAGGCAGTTCTTCTAGACTAAATTTAAGGTTATGTTAGTGCACTTTTTGTTTCAGGATTAACCACTCACCAGATATTAATGATGAAGCAGCAGACAGACGGACGATAACGTTACCCCAGAACAGGCTCTATCAAATGTGTTCCCATACAGCTGCACTCCCCGCACTGAGAGCTACAACCGAAAGTCCGCGTAAAACGTCACACAAAACATAAGCACCAACTTAAGGCATACAGTCCAGTCCTGAAGAGTCTGTTGTGAAAGTTTCAAGAAAAGTTTCCTGATATCTGATGTTAAACTAAATATTGTTCAGTCAAATCCAAGATAGTCCTTCATTTGAAAATGGAGGTTGGTGGTGGTTTTCGCGGTCAGTTAGTATTACTGTATTTAGATTTACGGTAATATTTTCCCAGAATGTATTTAAAATCTACATTGTGATTGCGAGCCGAAGCTAAACCGAGGCTTATTGTTGGCCATTTTCTCTCTCTCTCGCTCCGCGCCTGTGCATAGTTTTGCGTGCATGCCGTGCTGCCAACTACTGCATGCACGTCACGGTTCCTCGCGGGATCTATTTCAAGTAGCCGGCTGTTTAAAAACGATATAATATTGTTTGTGTGGTTCATCAACGGTGATAAATTATCCGAAAGTCCCGCGAGGTACGGAAAACTGGCACAACACTGGTGAAGCTGTGGCTCCATCTCTTCAGCAAGTGTTCGTCCACTGCCACTACACACACACAAACACGCTACGCATACACATGCGCACTGACGACCCGGGGTTAGGATTACAATTTTGGATTTATTGAAAGTTTTATTCTTTTTACATGTTTATTTACAGCATTAAATGTTGAAAAGTATATTGTAATAGGCAGTATATTAATTTATTGGGAGAAAACTGGTAGTTCTATATAAAATCAGACGTTGAGCACCCCATATCGCCAAAATGGCATGATCCTTGTTTTGCTGCGAAGCTTCCACTGTGAGATTGACAGTGAATCAGGCTCAGCCCATCGAAGCATCGACTGTTCGACTATGTGGGGTCAGCCCTACTGGCTTCCATGCCTAGCAAAATGTGAGACCCCATATTCCAAACACACTACTTTAACGTGGAGAAATCCAATCTGACCACCGTTGGATCTATGATTGGGCAATCAATGTTTGGGCGATAGGTTAAGCAAAAGGTCAATTCAAATCACATAAATGCAGGTGGTTCTAATAGATTGAATATATTCAGTGGTATTTAAATTTCAATATTAAGCATTAAATAGTTATTACATATTACTATTAAGTTAAGTTGCTTATACAGTAAATGTAAGATGAAGCTTTTCTTTGCTTCCATAGATCTGTGCCAAAAATAAAAGCTTTCCTTCTCTTTACCTCTATACTGTTACAAGTATTTTACCGTCTTGGGCTTTATGCTCTGTGATAGTATTTTTTTGTCTAGCTTTAGTTCTCATCCTCATCCATATGTTCTCTCTGTATCAAGTATTAAATGTAGTTTCTGGATTGCACTGTGTCTTGGAGCAGTTAGATTTATGCTTTGTTTTCAATAAAATCTTTGTTTTGAATAAAATCTCACTATTTCAGGTTCTACAGTGGGATTGGATTCACACTGGCATCATTAATTTGCTTTTTTAAGTGGTTTCTCATGAGTAACTCCAACTGTGCCTTTATTTGTCATGACTTAATGAAATGCCTTGGAAATCTGCAATTCTGTGCTGCAGTGGATGTTGTAGTGTTACATGAGGGAAATTTAATCCTTAGCGGAGCTATTGTCAACTTGAGTCCAAACTATGCCCATTACCCTTCAGGAACCAATATCAAGTCCATCTCTAATGCCAAGCAGTACAAAAAAAGTATTTTACCCTGTATAGCTTGCAAGGCATACAGGGAAAGT